TTCCCCACAAGCCCCACAGACCTCAAGCTTGTGGTTCCCTTCCAGCGAGATGGGGTGGGCGGAGGACCGGGCCTGGGGTCCATGAAAAGAATAGGGTGCAAACTCAGCTCTGCTTAACTGCCTGCATGGCCTGGGGAAGTCCTGTTCCCTCTGTGGGCCTCAATTCCCCAGCTGGGAACAAAGTGGATGGGCTGGAGGACTCTTACGGGCTCTTTCAGCACTACCATCCTAGAATCTCACTTTAAGGACATTTTGAAAACCCAGATCTTTGGTGAGGGCAGAAAGTGGACCATACATGTTTCACCAAACCAGGCTGGGCCATGTGCCCGGAAGCTAAGTTCCAATAAGCTTCTGCAGTGAAATGCAATCCCCTGAGGTCTGTGTGTAACGGGGACCCAGAGCACTAAGCCTAGTGTGCACAGGTGAGTCTGCACAGGACGGGCTTGCCTTCTGACCAGACAACCTGCAAAGTGGACCATGCAGCTGCAGAGGCTCCAGTGCTGCTTGCTGACCCAGGGCTGCCCCTTCACACAGCAGAGCTCAAGGGAAGCTGGGCTGGCTCTCCCTCTTCTGATAAGCTATTCTGCGCCAGGTGACTCAGACACGGGCCCTGACCTCATGGGCTCCAGGCTAGTGGATAAGAGGCTCCAACCTTCTACCCTCTTCACAGCCCAACTGGCACACCCCGTACTCCCAGGAGCCCTCCCTGACTTCCCCAGCTACCATCCTCAGCTCTGACTTCACATGTCCCCTGGTGTGGTGCAAACCTAGCCCATACCCAGGAACTTTATGGGGCACCATGACCCACAATCCCTGGACTGTGAAAAGGTCAAAGGCAGCAGCTGTGCTTCAGCCATCACATGCTGGGGCTCAGCAGGTATAGTCAGAATTGCTGCCTGGCAACAAGGACTTCTGACAGCTACCTCTGTCCTGGCAGGAAAAAAAGGCATCAACCTGATCCAGCAACTCTGTGCCAGGCACTGCACTAAGGGCTTCCCATTGGTCCAAATCCTCATAGCTCTGAGGTTGGTATTATCCTAATTAAGGACTAAACCAGGAACTAAGGCCAGAGAGGGTAAGTAACTTGCACAAGGTAGCACAGCTATGAGCTTAAAAGCACCATTCTTTTTTGGTCCCATTTCCAAGCGCTTGACAATGCTTTGGAGATCTCAGAGTTGCTCTGTGCTGGCCTCAGGAGCTCCTACATAAGCAACGTCATTGTGCTCTCCAAATGCTCCTAGTGGCCTGCAAAGGGCTGGCGGGGCCACCCAGGACAGCGGGCTCTGAATCCCAGGCCTGCCTCTTAGCAGCTGTGTGAAGCTGGTAGGTCATATAACCTCTGTGGGCCTCAGTGTCATCACCTCTAAAATGGGTTAATAATACCTACAAGCACAGTTGCTGTGCAGCAGCTTAAACTAACGTGTGTAGATGCTGCTGGTGTTCCAGAGATGTGTTTTTCTCCACCTTCCTGGCTGCTCTGAGGCTGGCATTCACTGCCACAAGGCATGGGCGAGTTTGCTCCCAGAGGGAGCCAGCCGACTTCCCCTGAGGAACAGCCGTTGCAGGTTGGGCAATGCCTGCTGGGGGCAAGGAGGGAGGCCTGATGCAATGGGGCACACCCTGATGTGACTGGCATGTCCAGAGAAGCAGCCTCAAAGGGCAGTCCCCTGGGAAGATCTGTTCTGACCAGTCTATGGAGTCGGCCCTGACTTAGTATCTAGCACGGCAGCCTCCCCAGTCTGTTCTGTAGTAGACTGTCGACCTGCCGGCACGGCAGAGCAGGGCATGGGCAACTTGGCTTGGGTTTGCCCTTCACTCTACAGGGAGCAGTGGAAATACTCAAGTTGTGGATTTAGACAGACCAGGGTTCATTCCCAGCTCCCCTCTTCCCCCTTACTGGCTATGAGAGTTCGATCAATTCATTTATCCTGACCCTCAGTTGTCCCATTCCAAAAACGGGAATATGACCACCCACCTTGTAGAATGGTTGTGAGGCCTTAACATCCAGTGTGGTATGCACTGGAGAAAGGTTTGCTTCCTAATAAATAAGCAGGCCGCCTGTTCTGACACACACATGGGGAGGGGTGGAGGGAGGAAGGACAGGTGAAGACCAGGCCCCAACCAGCATCGAAGGCATGGAAGCAGCCCAGATTTCCTATCCGGGCTTGTTGAAAAGTCGTAGGAGACATAAGTGGGCTGGTTTCTCCTCCTGGGAGAGAAGACCCCCAAAATCTACCCACTGAAGCTGAAGGTCACATCAAATCTGAAAGGCAACTTTGTTCTTCCCGGCTTCATCTGTTATGCATGAAAGAGCAGACGGCAGGTGCTCAGGATTCATAATTTGAGACATCTGGAGACTAAAGACACTGGCCAAATTTAAACCGAAAGATGAACTTGTTGGGTGTCTTCTCAGATTATGAGAAAAGAAGAAAGGAGAGAATTTCTTAGTCATCTGTAATCCACTCGGAATTCACAGCGAGTCTGCCTGACGGCCGTCATCAAAAACTCCACCTCCGCCTCCAGGTTCCGCACTTTTAAATATCACTGTTTGAAAAGGACAGAGATAAACGCCCGAGGAGACCCTACAAGCCATAGCCGAGCAGGGGTGGGCAGAGGTCTGGGGCGTCCCTGGACAGAGGAGCCTGAAGAGAGTGGCCTTTCTGTGAAGGTCACTATGCAAATAGGATCCACGAGCAGCACGATAGCAGATTTGGCTCCTGGGAGGCCAGGACATGGTGGGGCTGAGGGTCACACAGATCTGAGTCTGGGCCGGTGCTCTGCAAAGTCCACGAGGCATGACCCTGGACACTACCTTCCTCTCTGAGCATTGATGCCCTCAGCAGTCAAGGGAGATAGTACCATCTGGGCTCAACAGGACCGTTAATTAAACAAGATAAAGTTACGGGCTTAGCACAGTGCCTGGCATATAGTAAGAGCTCAGTTACAGTAGTTACGAATTTTATCTTTTTAAAACCGTTACTTGGTCCAAACTGCCTTTTGCTCCTGAGATAAGTACACTACTAAGGAGGTGGAATTGTCACTGTCCATTTTCCAAGAGTCATCATACGATAATGGTCACCTCAGTCTCACAAAACCGGGGGGCACAGGAAGAGTAAGGGTTACTGTACCTTTTTCACAGATGAGGGCACTGAGGCTCAAGGAAAGAGGGGACTGATTCATTGCCACAGTTCCTAAGTGGCAGAGCCAGTGCTATACCTGGGGGTACCCACATCACTAAAACACACTTCCCACCATGCCTGTCCCAGTCCCGTCACACTCAACTTACACCCTGAGTTCATCTGGATCCTGTCTGGACCACTGTCCCGGCACTGAGCCCTGGCCCTGGCTCATGGCCAGCACAGAGTAAGTTTGTCAAGAACAAACACTGTGGACTCTCCCCAGGAAAAAAGCACATATAATCTTATATACATTTAAGAGGGTGCACAGGCCCCTGGCCAGGTACCTTCAACCTAGGTTTTCAAAGGCCCCTTCAATGCTGACACTGGATTACTGGAGTTGCCTCAGTGAATCACCCAAAGGCCACCTCATCACACACATACCCATCTGCAGTGAAAAGGAGGCTGACTGCCCTCACCCAGGGTGTACAGCCAGTGTCCAGGCCAACTCCATCCAAGTGCTGCCTGTATTTCAAATAGAGAACTTTTATTACTTTTTCCTCACTAGAACTTCCTTTACGGCATCACGAAGTACAGCACAACCAAGGCTTATCTGCAGACACATGGGGAGCACACCGACAGCTTGTCGACAAGACACAGGGATGCAGACCACAGCGTGACTCACACCAATACAGCAGTCTTCCTCAGGATTCCTGGCCCCTCATGCCAAGCACAGTCTGTGTCACACCCAACCCTCACTGCCTTATGTCAAACACAGAGGCTGACATGGAGGTCTGAGGTGGGGAAGGGGGCAGGAGCTAGAGCCGGGAAAGGAAGTTATCCTCTTATTCTGATAAAGACCCCACAAATCCCACCCCACCCTCTCACCAGGGACTCGGTCTCGAATGTGTTTTGATTAGTGTTGAAGTGGCTTTTAAGAAATGGTGTATGTTTTTCCTGAAGCTCGTAAAACCTGCTCTGAGCCAGGCCACTGGCAGGCATCTCAGGCCGGAAAAAATGCTCATAGCTTTGCTGGGTTTCAGGATGCTGGGAGCCCCGCGGGAGTCAAAGGGGGAGGAAGAAAAGAGACTCTGATGACAGATTGCTGCTGGTGTGTCCCGACCCAGGGTCTGAGTGTCAGGAAAGAGAACAGCGTGATGCTTACGGAGTTTGATTTTGTTTCACCCTCTGAATTAGCAGACTTCAAACACTTCCATTTTCACAGAAATCAACAGCAAGACAGCTAGCAGGGCATGGAGGCTTATGCCAGTTTTGTGCAGAAAGGCACCAGATGGTTTGTTATGAAACACATTTTGGTCAGAAAATAGCTGAGGTTTTTGGTTCCTGGGAGGACAACAAAGCTAGGGGAAAAAAAAGTAGGTGCTGAGTTGTGGGAGGTGGGGGTGGAGAAAGCAGCTTTGGCATCAGATCTGGGTTCTACTCTTCACTCTACCCCTTCCTCCCTTGTGGCCTCAGTTTCCTCATCCATATAATGGCAATAAAATATTTTTAAGTGAATGTAGGTATTAGGTTTCACACAGGAAGTATGGGGAGGCGGGGATCAGAGAAATTCACACACACACACACACACACACACACACACACACACACACACACACACACAGACACAAACACAAGAGAAGAGCAGGCAAACCTTGTCTGTATGACAGGAGGTGGGGGTGGGGACCTCACACAGGCCAGTCACAGTGACAATCCCCACTCACAGTCAGACTCTGGGAGTCCAAGGGTGGCCAGTTACACTGGTTCTAAGCATTGACAGAGATCCCCCACAGGGACTTTGGGCCCCTTCACCTAGAATAAGGGCAGTAAGAAAGCTCTGTTCAAGGCAGCACCAGCGAGCTGTTTGTGTTTTAAAGTGCCAAGCTACATGTTGTCTTTGGTCAGGGCCCACCCCTCTGTATCTGAGAGGCCCAGGGTCCAGGGGCTCAAGCCCAGGCCCGCTGGGGCCCCAGGGAAGGTGAGCTTGAGGACAGTCCTCTCCTGAGGCTGCGAGTGCCCTCCTGTGCTCCGAAGACTGAAATCCAGCTGCTTTCAGTAAGGGACAGGATGCCTCCAGGGAAACCTAGGTCCTTAGAAAGAAGGTACAAGAAATGCTTTGGTCATGTCCCAACACCCACAGCCAGAACAGAGCTTGTCTGATAGAGAGAGCGAGCAGGAAGCTGGTTATCACACCGCACACGTTACGCAGTGGGAGACGTGGCTGACACAAAACTGCTTCCGAGCATGAACCAGGAGAGTCACTGAATAAATATTCAAGGCATCTTTCAGTTCTCAGAGAAAGGGCGAGGTCAAATGAAAATCTCTCCTTCCCCCTGCTTGACTGGCTACAGCCTTGATGTGAAGGCTGATGGTGCTGCAGACCGGAAGAGGCCGGGACACAGGCCCAAGGGCTGGCTCCCGCCGTGGCGGCTTTGGTCCATTTCATGTAGTGGTCAGTCATGTGGCGCTAGCCCCAGGCCCTCAGAAGCTGAAGAGCTCATCCTGCTCAGTGCCACCGCCATCAGGCTTATCCCAGTTGACAGGTGAGAGGCAGTGGGCGTAACGGATGTCCTGCGCTGTCAGTCCAATATCCAGGACCTGAGGGTTCGTCCGAGACTGGGCCAGCCTGGAAGGCAGAGTTGTGTGAGTTGAGGACCCAGGCGAAGCGCTGGCAGGGCCTGAGGAGCCAGTCTAGCCCGGCCAGCACCAGGGGCAGAAATGAAAGGGCATGAGGAGCGGGGATGCCAAGACACAGGGGCCAAAGAAGGAAGTCTCAGATGCCGGGGAGGCAGAGCCTCTGACCAAACAGCCTAAGGGCCAAACAGCTCCGAAAACTGTGGGGCAGGCAGTGCGCATTCCCACCACTGAGAGGCCACAGCGCCCGTGTGGTGCCACAACACCACAAGGTCATGCCCAAGAAGAGGAGAAAGGGCAACGCTGGGGAGGGCAGTGAGGAGCATACCATAGGGTGGGGGGTGGGGAGGCACTGGTGCCCTCCAGTCAGGGAGAAGATGCATGTCAACACAGTGGTGTTCAAAGAGTAATTCAGAAAAGGAGACAATCCAAATGTCCAAAAGAACAGCAGACAGCTAAGTAAATTATGGCCTGTGCTCTTAAAAAACGTTAGGCACTCAATGAACATGGTGTTTACAAGGAGTTTTCAACAGCCTGGAGAAATGCTTCTGATATATTGATGTTAAGTGAAAAATCAGGATACCACAATGCAAACATGAGGAGCTGATCAATGCAAAAAAAAAAGTGTATACGTATAGGATTAGCATGAATTAAACCAAAGTCTGGGCTGTGGGATTATGGGATGGTGTTATTTTCTATTTCAAAACTGTTATTAAAGGGCACATGATATTTGAATGATCTGGAAAAAGCAAACAGAAGACCTTCTTCCAACGAGGGGGTTGTGGTCAAAAGCAGGGGAGATGGTAAAAGAAATGTCTTTGCCTCCACGAAGGGCCATACATGCCCTGCCAGGGCTGGGCCAAGGGGTTTCCAGCCCGGCTCTGGCAGGAGGGGGTGAGGTGGAGGGAGAGGAGGGTAAGGCTCTGCTCCCATCCAGTGCCCACAAGCCACAGGCTCTCACTCCAAACAAAGCCCCTGCTGTGGGAGGGCTGCAGGCAGCTGTTGAGGGTCCCAAAGGGAAAAGGGGGGGCCTGACTGATCAGGGCCCAGTAAGAACTCAGCCTCCCAGGACGAAATGTCCCTCAGGTGCAGCTTTTTTGATGGCATATCCCCAAGCTGAAGGTAGCCATGGCTACAGGGATGGCCCCTGGGAAAATGGGGAAATGCCACCACCCTCAGGCTATACCAAAATATCTTCTCCAAAAAACAATCCAGGGGCTTAATTAAGCACTGCCATCTCCCTCCCCCTTTTCATAAATGTAAAACCTTTGAAGGAGACAAAGCCTGCAACAAAGCCAATTTCTGAAGACTACACCAGGTGTAGGAAGAGGAAATCCACTTAAGCTGCAAAGCGTTTAGCTCAGCTCAGACTCTTGTACAGCAGCCACCAGGAACAGTTTTTGATTCAACAGCAAGAGCTTTTAAGAGATCTGGCCACCACTGCAGGGGTTCCGGCAAGAGACAGTGAGCGCCCTGCCCCTGGAGGTATTCAAGAAGAGGGGATGGGAATTCCTGCTCTGGAGAAGGTGTGACTCATGTTCTCATACAAGGCAAAGGGCCCCAGGAGGAAAGGGCAAGCCAGAAGAGCCTACAAATGCTAGCCTCCCTCGCCCAGCACAAGAAACCCAGCTGATGTTACCTCGAAAATGCTTCATCCAGGCCATCATCCAGCTCCTTGGGGAAACAAAGGAGGAGATATGAACCCTAAGCGGAGAAGCCAAGGCTCACAGCTGGGGCTGTCTTCAGCCCTAGGTAAGCTACAGGGACTCAGGACACAAGCATAGGAGTCTGGGGGGTGCCTGGAGGAACAGATACAGGCAAGCATCTCGCCTGGCTGCCACCATCAGCACCTCTGTTCATGGACATGGAGCGTGGGCTGTGGGGTTGTGGTGCGCCAGGAGAAGGCTGTGTCGCAGAGTGTCTGGAGACAGGGTGGGTTCAACTTCCAGCTCTGCCACTACCTGCCCAGGAGACCTTGGGCAAGTCACTGTTCCTCCCTGAGACTCAGCCTTTCCTTCCACAGAACGAGGGGGCTGGATCAGATGATTTCTACAACTTTCAGATTCCAAGAGGAAGAGGGTGGGGAAAGAGCATTTGTGGCCTTCATCTACTTCCAAGAGCTGAGCCAAATTCCAAGCCCACGAAGGAGGGATAGCTAGTGGCAGGAATCCCACAGCCTAGGTGGAAAAACGAGGGGTGAGGCTCCCACCGTGGCCTCCCATGAGGATAGGCAAGTGGCAAGAGTGGCTCCCAGATAGCAGAGAACTCATGGGTGTCTGCTCATGGGTGCCCCCAACAGCCAGAGGGACTTGACAGTTTTTCATGCAAATTCAAGTCCCTCAATGTTCAGATTCTAAAAAATTAAGTGGGCGTGATAAGTAAAGTAATGCATGATCCTGCACTGGGTCCTGGACCAGAACAAAGACACTGGTGGGACAGGTGGGGAAACATGGACAAGGTCTGCAGAGTCCATAACAGTATTGTATCCATGCTGATTTCCTGATTTTGATCATTGTAAAATGGCTATGTAAGATGTTAACATTTGAGGAATTTGGATGAGGGTGAACAGGAAGTCTTTGTACTATTTTTGTAATGTTTTTAAAGTCTGATATTATTTCCAATTGAAAAATTAAACATGTTTTTAAATACCAAAACAAAACAAAAAAGGGTCCTCTGGGTGATCCTGCAGGCAGAGGTCACACCCTCACTGAGGGGATGAAAAAGCTGAGACACAGAGAGGTCAGGGGGCTTGCTCTGAATCACACAGCAACTCAGGGGCCAGGCTGCCAACTGCCCAAGTCCCCGGCTCCTAATTCAGATGGCTGAGGGGGAGGGGCGCCAGGAGCAAAGTCTGCCCACTCCAGGAACAAGGGAGCCTTTGGCTGGTCCTGTGGTGGGCAGAGCCACAGATGCTCGGGCCAAGAGGCCGGGCATTGTGAGGAGACAGCTGTGCAGGCAGCCAGGCCTGTTGGGGACGCAGGCCCAAGTTCAAAGATGACATTGTTCATCCCCTGCCCTGGGCCTAGGCACTGCTGGGTTGGGTCTTGCCCTCCTAGAGGCCCTCAAGTCACGTGTGTCAGGGCTGGGGCCCTGGAGCACCCATAGGCCTCATCCAGAGATCAGGCTGACGCTCAGTCGGCCCCTGAGGAGTTCCCAAGCTACCCAACCACTCACCCAGACAACACTGCTATTGCTCAAGGTTTGAGGCCACAGTGCTTCGTCCATGTTAGGAGTGTTAGCGCTGACCGTGGACAGCGAGGCCTTGGCCGTCTCTTCCAAGTCCAGCAAGTTCCCGGTAGCGACCACTATGAAGGGTCCAGTCAGGTGTGTCAGTGGAGATGAGCCTCCTCTCTTCCCACCCCATCCCCCACCCCATCCTGTAGTCTCCCTCCTGGTCCTGATTCCCTCATTGGGCAGGACCCAGGCCTATCACCCAGAGCCCCACCCTGGCACCTCCCCTAGCAGCAGCCCACAGGGTGGGAACTTCTCCCCCACTAACGGTTGGGTTTAGGCTGGAACTTTCACAGTCACAACCGTTAAGTTTTTGAAGAGATCACACAACAGGATGTAAAGTGTAGATACAGAGAAGTATACACATATTTGCATAGGGACATATGTAGAAGAACATATACCAAAACAAGTATTTTTTCCCCTTTATCTACATTTTCTAATTTATCTATAGTGAACATGCATTACTGATTTAAAAACAAAACAATGAAATGAAAAAGCCCAGAGTCAGCCCCAGCCAAGGAGGGAGTGAGGCCCTATGGGAGACGGCTGACTCAAACTTAAGGAGATGAATCTGGCTCCCTCCCCTTGCCCGAGACTCACGGCTCTTCAGCGGAGGGGTGTTGTCATGGTGGGCCCCACCTGGGACGTCCCCTCCCTCTTGGCTGGCTTTCTCCCTCTTCTCCTTCTCTGTGGGACCAAGGCACAGCATGTTGGTGGTACCTCAGACCTCAGCACTCCTCCCCAGCCATTGCTGGGGAGGGAAGAGGTTTTGGTCAATCACAGGGGGCAGGTTTTAGGTCTCCAGCAGGGAAGAAAGACACCTCACAGATTTCATTTAATCCTCACAAGCACTCTGGGGGAGGAAGATAGTTACTTCCATTATTCAGATGCGGAAACTGAGACTCAGGTGAAGAGGCCTCTCCAAAGTCACATACTGGGTAAGTGATAAAGCTGGGAGTTGGTCCATGTCTGACTTCAGGCCCACCTTCCCTCCCCACCCCTAATACTGTTCTGGCACCTTCCTCCCCACCCCTCACACCCTCCTCATGTGAAGAAATAATACTCACCTTCCTTGGATACCTGCCAAATCTCAAAGGCAACTTTGAAGGCTTGGGCTACTGTGAGGGTGACAGCCTGGGCCTGAAAAACAGGAAGTGGGGTCAGGGGAGGGGTGCAGTGTCTGCAGGGGACAGCAAGTCTGAACTGGAGGGCCCTGACTTCCTCCCTGAAGATGCTGAGGGCTCCATCCCTGGCTTTGGAATGCCTGATGGATGGCGGCAGCACCCAGGCCTCTCCCAGCTTACCAAGGCAGCCCAGGATGTAAGAAGCCACACGCTCCTCAGGCAGCTAGGGCTCAATCTTCACCACCCTGCACCACCTGCCCCCCCAGCCAAAGCTCTGCGCTGTCAGCAAACACATTCATCCAGCCCCACACCTCTGCAACAGCTGTTCACCTCCACTTTCTCTCCTTTCCCTGTGTGCTGAATTCAATTAACTCTGATGCTTACTTTCTCTGAGAAAATCAAAAAAACCAAACCCACTGCCATCGATTCTGACTCATAGCGACCCTGCAGGACACAGCAGAACTGCCCATACGGTTTCCAAGGAGTGCCTGGTGGATTTGAACCGCTGACCTTTTGGTTAGTAGCCATCGCTCTTAACCACTATGCCACCAGGGTTTCCGTTTGTGCTGAATTCAATTAACTTTGAGGCTTACTTTCCCTGAGAAGCCCACCCCAATTACCTGAGGACTTCACATGCTACCTTAGCCCTTGGAATTGGGAGAACAGAAAAGTGAGAGTTGGAAGGGCCCAGCCACTGCCTGAATGAGCCACAGCCACAGAGGAGAAGGCTAAGTCTGGTTAGCACTATGCCGGCTCAGAGGGGCTGATATCTGGATCCCAGAAAGGGAGGGGAGGCGTCATTCAGTCCAATAACCCACCTGGAAGGAGGGGTTCATGAGGAGACCTTCCCTACACCTTGGCCCTTGGCCCCGGGTGAATTCCCATCCACCCCTTAAAACCCAACTCAAATGCCACAACCACCCAGCAAGGAGTTCCTACAGCCCCACTGCCCACCTCTGGCCTCAGACATGTCAAAGCGTCATTAGCTCACATGCTTGTGTCACCCCCATCTGTGTGCTTCCTTGGCACAAATCATGTCCGAACACCTCTGCAACCCAGCACAGGGGCAACGCCCTCCAGAGGTGCCAACAATGCCGGCAGAAACAAGTGTTGTCCAAGGGGCAGGCTCCTGGGGCTGAAGCCTCACATGCCAGCCAGGACCTGCCCCCAACCCACACATATCTCAACCCCGTCCTCTCTTAGCCTCTCTAACAGTGATACCAGTTCAGGGTTAATCAGCTCAGCCTCTAAAGTGGAATCCCCAGAGCTTGTAGCCGTAGCCGGAAGTAACATCAAGCTTCATTCTGAAAGCCCGGCCTCGGGAAGAAAGCACCAGCCTGGCCTGCACAAGTGTACAAGTTCAGGCCTCACCAGTCTTGGCCCCACTCCCTTCCTCTCCGCCAGACAACGCAATTTAATTGAGAAATGAATTTGTGGCTACTGCCTTTAGAATTCTTTTTAAAAAAAATTTTTCTTAAATCCCTAAACAAGCTGACTGATCCATGCCAATTAAACTAACTCCACGAAGTATAAAATCTCATTTGAATGTCTCTGTCATTTACATTTCTGATGGAAGTACGGGTGCTTTATGGCAAAACTTAAATATGGTAATTAAGTATGAAACTCTTCACAGCTGTTTACAATTTAAGATGTCACGTCTGAATCAAGTTTAATAGACCCAGTTACCATTGAGAATTGCCCATGAACTAAAAATACGATCTAATTACCAGCCAGAGTCAGATCCCTATATACCCAAGCAAGGGCTGGTCACCCAATGTGGCAGGGACATAGAAACACCATTATTTTTTGCCTCTAGGAAATCTGGGGGCACTAGCTTGATACTGTTTTTGCATAAATCTGCTTGTTCATTTGCATATACTCCTACCCTTTTGCCCTGAAGTCCGAGCTGCAAGTTAAACCAAATATAACCTGAGATACAGATGTGTGCAGGTGGCTGCAAGCCGAGGCTGGGCAGGGACTGAGGGGGGGTGACCCTGCTTCCTGTAATTCGGGTGCAGGAATCTGGGCACTGAAAGACTGCTGGGGCCTGCCCACCAGGAGGCCCTCCTTCCTCGATTCCCGAGGCCTGGTATAAACCCCTCCACTGAGTGCCTCTGGCCTGTGGGTCTGTCTTATTACCCTGACCAGGTTCTACCTCATCCACAAGGTCCTGTCTTATTCCCAGTAACCAGGCTGCTAGCCCCTCACAGAGGCCAGGTCTAGCTTAGGGCTATAGACCCTGGGACGCCTGATCCCAGCCTAGTACTTAGGCCAAGTCGGGCCATGTGCTTCCTAGCACCGCTGCCCCAGAACCGAGTCTTGCACAAAAGCAATACTCTAGGAATGCCAAATGGCCATATGGGGGAGAGCAGTCCTGCCCCCTAACAGAGGCTGAGGGCCCTCACAGAATTAGGGGGTATCAGTTTGCTTACTGTCAGTCCAGCCCAGCACCTACTCTGCAACCCTGAGCTCCTGGCCAACGCCAATGTCCCCTCCCCCAAAATCCACCTTCACTCCAGAGCTCAGAGGCTGACATGGCCACCCAGGCCCCAGCTGGGCAGATGGAAACGTAACATTACTTAGTAGAGAACCCTATCCTGGCCATGTCAAACAGGAGCCACTGGGAGAGTGGGGCCTGGGTAGCTTTGAGTTGAATTGGTGGGTGACCCACAAAGGACCCGCTTTGGAAGCTTCTTTCCGCCGACCCTGGGTGGGTCATAAGCCTCCTATTTATGAGCAGGGGATGTGGAGACTCCAGACCTCTGGCACAGGATGAGGGCTATGTTAACACCCGAATTCAAGGCCTCCGCAGGCTGACTCCACCTTGCCCACCCCAGGCTTCGGTGACATCCGACTCTTCAACCACCAGTCACGCTGTTTAATTTTTTATCTCCGTGTCTTTGCACGTTACGTCCTGTGTCTGAAGAGCACTAACTTATCACCTTGGCCTGGCCAATGCCTACTTATCACCAATCCTTCAAAGCCCAACTCACAATGTTCCTCGTCAGGGAAGTCTTACTTACCTCCCAGGGAGATTGAATAACCTCCACCCAAAACCACACTCCCTGTATTCCAGTTACTGAGTCCGGGCTCACCTGCCTACTGCCCTCCTAGGGCCCCAGTGGCCACATAGGCCTGGGACAGTCTGCAGCAAAGGTCCCAGCAGGTGGGATGCAGAACTTGAGGCACCTATCTTGTCTTCTGTCTCCTCCTTAGAAACTTCCACATGAGTTCTGAGAATCTCAGGATTTCCAAGCCAATCTGGGCTCAGCTGAGGCCTTGCAAGCCACGCAGCATTGCCCTCGAGCAAGGTGGTCTATTTACCCCACACTGGGCTGGGCCCCTGTCTCTGAAAGGGCTTCTTGAAAGGGGGAGGCCAGATAAGAAGGGTGGAGGAGAAGAAGGATAAGCCACAAGCCAGCCCCCAACCACAATGAGAATGTGAAGAAAAGTAGAGTTTGGGCCATGAGTGTCTAGCAGTAGCCCTTCCCCTGCCAACTCAGGGCTCTACAGCCAGCCGACAGGAATGGCCAGGCTCTGTTTTCCTTAGTAATGATCTCTTGGCCTGAGGGCAGGCTGGTTTCTTTCAGGCCTGTCTAAAGTCCCCTGGCCCCAGGCCAGGCCTCCCTTGAATGGCTGGTCCAGCACCCGCTCTCTCTCTGCCCCAGGACCTCCAACCCAGAGGGAGCTCTGCACCTTGGAAAACCCCTCAGACTCAAAGCCCATGTTCGGCAGCAATCTGCGCCATGGGCCAGCTGTCCCTGCCCAGCGCTCACTCTGGTCAGTGGGGAGGAAGAGCCTAACAATGGGGACATAATGAGCTTGTATTTTTAAGTCTATGTGGCCTCATCAGAGACAAAGCCAAGAGTTACTGTCTGTGGGAACAAGGCTGTCACAGGAAAGGCCACCACAGCTCAGGGTCCTGGGATGTCACGAGGCCCTGGGTGAGTGGCCAGTGACACTGAGTCTGCAGGAAAGAAACACAAGGTGCACAAAAGGAATTGGGGCCTTTCAGAAAAATCCTGGAGGGCACTGAGAAGACCTCCTCATTCTACTGATGTCCAAGGTCACACAGCACATCAGCCAGGATCCAACCACTAGTCTGTCTCATACTACAGTGGTCCTTCCATGAAACCTGCAGTAGGTTGGATAATGTCTCCCAAAGACATTCATGTCCTAATCCCTGAAACTTGTGACTATGTTACCTTACATCGCAAGAGGGACTCTATAGATACAATTAAGTTAAAGATTTTGAGATGGAGAGATTATTCTGGATTACTTGGTGGGTCTGAGTAATCACAAGAGTCCTCAAAAAAGTGAGCAGGAGGGTCGGTCAGAAATGGCAATAACAGAAGCAGACAGGGAAGAGACTGGAAGATGCTGTGCTGCCAGCTTTGAAGACAGAGGATGGGGCCACAAGCCAAGGAATGCAGGTGGTCTCCAGAAGCTCTAGAAAAGTCAAGGAAGCATATCTTCCCTTAGAGCCTCCAGAAGAAATACAGCCCTGCTGACCATTTTAGACTTATGCCCTCCAGAATGGTAAGAGAATAAATTTATGTTGTTTTTAAGCCACTAAGTTTGTGGTAATTTGTTATAGCAGCAATAGGGAATTTATACAATATCTAAAGTGCACCCTGATAGGGAGCAGAAAGCCTAAGGGGCCACTTAAAGACTGTGATGTCCTGATGATGGGGGAGTGGGGAGAATCTTGTCTCCTTGGCCCATGGACCACACGGCGTGACGACCAGGGCTCCAGACTCAGCACAAAGAGGTGAACAGATGCCAGCACTTAGTCAATAAACATCAGGAACCTCCTCCCAGGGAGGATGCTCAGATCTCAGGGTCTCAGAAATGAAAGCTTCAGCATCAAAGGTTGGCCCCTCTGGTTCCTCACCAGACATCTCAGGACAAACGCCCACAGAGACCTGAGGTGCCCCCTCATCCCAGCTAGATGTAGTCAAGAGGCGGCCCAGGAATGGGACGAGGGCTCTCAGGTCCTCACATTCACCCTCGCAGTCATGCAGGAGGGGAAGAAACACGAGTTCAAGCCCTTGCTCTGCCCCTGGCTGGCTGTGTCATCTTCAGTAAGACATCTGGCCTCTGTGGGCTTGCTTCCCCATAAAAAACAAAACCAGAAACAAAGGAGACAGTAACAGACCCACCTCCACAGCTGCTGTGAAGGTTGGAAGAGAAAACACCTTAAAGCCTAGCACTGTAACAGGCACACAGTACACATTAAAAAAAAAAAAAAGTTCGTTTTCCTCCCTGCTCTGGCTGCAGCAAGCCAGGCTTCCTGAAGGCCCTGTCTTTGCCTTACACCCTGGGCGCCTCTGATCTCCAATCTCTGAAGACTAATCCCTACAAGGCCCCATACCCTCTCCTGTACTAATGACATTGTTAGTTGTCGTCCTGTCAATTCTGACTCATGGTGACCCCATGTGTGCAGAATAGAACTGATCCATAGGGTTTTCAACGCTGTGACCCTTCAGAAGCAGATTACCAGGCATGTCTTCCAAGGCGTCTCTCGGTGGGTTTGAACTGCCAACCTTTCTAGGAGATCCAAAAAAATCTTAAATCCAACAAATCACGTTGCAGGAAGGAAGGCACCCAGGGCTAGTCACTGCCACAGACCAGGCTGACTGGGCAGGGCAGAGGCTGAGGTCGAGACAAGCCCACCCAGCAGTCCCACTTGCCTGACCACACCTCTACTCCTTCCCTCAGCTCCCAGGACTCACCTGGGGTTCTGAGGGATTTCACACCTTTTAAAAAGTAACTGTCACCTTTGGGTCCTGCCTCTCACTTCCAAGGGCAGGACCGCTAAGGCCAGGCCAGAACCTCCCCCACCTGGCCCTCTCCCCACTGACCATCTTCCGCTTGGTGCAGAGGAAGGCATGACACTCAAGATTCTCGTTGTGCTGGCTCTGGGCGATGTATGCAAACACCTTGTCGTGCATCTTGTCTGCTGTGCAGTAGGAGATCCTGAAAGGTAAGGGATGTCACCAGACCCTAGCACAGGGGCCTGACCACATCCAGGACATCCCACGGGGCATCTCCCTGAGTCTCAGAGAGCCCACTATCCCAGCTGCACCAGGGCGAGACTCGGGAGAGACGGCCTTGGCCTCCAGGCCTGGCATCCTCGGTTGTCTATGGGGAAGGGACCCAAGCCAAGGGAATACCTGATTTAACCCTACAGTGTCCCGTCCCCACCAGGGTCCCAGGGAGTCAGGGGACCAAATGACCATCTGCCCCAGGCAGCCTCAGACATAATCCGCTCCCTCCTGCCCCTCCAGAGCTGAGACCAGACTTCTTGCATGGAAGTCAGCACCAGTAAAGGAGCTCATCCCACCTCCTGGGACTTAATCACTCCAGAGCCAAGGAAGCTTCATGCTCTGAATCCTGCCTTCCTTCTGTCTAGCCAGGGTCTCTCATGCTTCACAGCACATGCATGTTAGGGGAGGACTGTGGGTGATGCTGCAAACCCCAGCCCCTGGTCAAAAGCAGAAAGGAAAGACCAGAGGAAAGGTACTTCCCTCTCTCTACTCTTCCATCCCACAAGGAGCCCCCACCCTGAAATAGTAATAGCTGAGCCCTGGCCATGTAACAGGCAATGTACCAAGAGCCATCATCGTTTAATCCTCACAGCTACCTCTGAGACAGGTTCATTATCATCCTCAATTCCCAGATGAGGAAACTGAGGCTCACGGTCACAGACCACAAGCTAGTGGCAGAGCTGAGACCTGAACTCACCTGTGGGCTGTAACCACTGCTGTGCTGTCTCTTCAGAGTTTGTACTGACTGGCTGGGAGGGGAAGCAGCACCTTGCCGACCGACGCCCTTCACCGGGCCTTCCCCTGCCCTGCCCGCCCTCTCATCCATGACCCAGTCCAGAGGCCAGAAACGTTCCAGGCCACAACCTCGGCTCTCCTTGCACCCGCAGTCTTTCCATCCTCTCTCACTTGTCTGGTCCCTCCACGAAGCCCCCAATCATCCCAGGAATATCAAACGGGAGACAAGCTGGCAGCCCCAAGGTGGGACAGGAGCTTGGCAGGCTCCCTCCCTCTCCCTGGCTGGCCCAAACTTCCATCACAGGCATTGATACAGGATGAGCACCACTTAAAACCCCTAGGCACCAGGCTGCAGCTGCCTCTTCTCCATCCCAGGGGGTCCAGCCTCCTGCCCCAAACACCACTTGTCCTTGGTATCAATCAACCAGACCCTGCTATTTGTCAAGGCCCAGCCACCTTTCCTGAGAGACTTTCCCAGATTTCTCCAGGCAGGAACCTCCTTCTCTGCCCTTTTGAGAAACACTTATCATACTTTATCTCCTATCTCTTTCCCTCCACTCCTTCCTAGACTAGAAACTCCTTGAGGGCAGGGGTGAATTCCTCACCTGGCATAGACCCCAAGTAAATATTTGGAAAATGTTAATTAAAGAAAGGAAGGCAGAATCAGGAAGGTAAGAGGAAGGTATCAGCCTGAGACTCTGGTCCCCTCTCCCCGCCTCCCAAATTATATCCAGTACTGGCTTGTGCTCCAGCCAGCTTAGCCACCTGCTTGGGGACAAAGCAGCAGGAGGGATATCTGGAAGATGGCGGCCTGCTGGACTGAGCTCTGGCCTAGGTGTCCTGTTTCCAGCTCAGCCACTACCTCACCATGGACCTTGGGCGATATCCTCTGGGCCTCAGTCTCTTCATCTGTAAAAATGGATCTGGGCTGTCCCGTCCAGCTCTGAAATCTTACAACTGACCGCGCAAGAGAGAGGTGGGGGTAGCCTGAGGCTCCAAGGGCTGAGCCCTGCCTCCCTGGGAACAGGAGCCCCGCTCTAGAAGCCATCTACACCCTGGCCTCAGACCCTGGCAGAGGCCTCCCTGGGACACCCAGCTAGATATCTAGAGATAAGCTGCTACACTCATGGCAGAAGGAAAAGGCAGTGACTATGCGGCACTCTGCTCCAAGCCTGACTCAGTGGCAAGCGGGGAATGGGGATGGGAGTGGGTTCCAGGCCTGGTCAGGCCTCAGCTGCCTGGACTACTGCAACTGGTGATAATGACAGTAGCATGTCATTTAACACAGTGCTCATGTGCATGAGGTGCTGTTACTCATAACACCACTGTGAGGCAGGATGTTTCCACTCTCTGTTTTACAGATGAGGAAACTGAGGCTCCGAGGCCAACCTGATAGGAAATGGTAGAGCCTGGATTCAGACAAGAGATTCCAGCCACCGTCCCAAGGGACAAAGTGGATGTGAGCTGCCCCCCAGGCCGAGTGTACCTGTAAATGGACACGTTCTCAATCAGCTGGTTGGTGAGGCTGTCAGTCAGGATGATTCCCCGTGGCGACACCTTCAGAGTTACCTTCTGCAGCTTCTTCCCGCTGGCCTTAGCCTTGAGAGCAGACATGGGTCAGAGGAGATTGACTGCCCCACTTGGGCTCTACCCTCGTGGGCTACACCTACTGCTGCTAGCTGCCAGACAGTCCTTAGCTCAGGTGGCTGGCAGCTGAGACGAGGAAGGCAACTCAGACAGCCCCATCTTTGGCCATCTCTGTTCTGGTCTATCCCCAATTGGTTTGTTGTTAGCTGTCGTTGAGCAGATTCCGATTTATGGCGACCCCAAGTGTGCAGAGTAGAACTTCACTCCATAGGGTTTCCAAGGCTGTGACCTTTTGGAAGCAGAACACCAGGCCTTACTTCTGAGGCACCTCTGGCTGGGTCTGAACTGCCAATCTTTCGGTTAGTAGTCCAGCGCTTAACCGTTTGTGCCACCCAGGGACTCCTGCCAGCACCCTCTTGTAGAACAAAACAACTACCACTCATTGAGCACCTACTGTCTGCTAAGCACTGGATCTGGCAACATTGATCTCAGGGGCAGAAGGGTGTCTCCCCAGAAGGAAATGGGTTCAGAAAGGTTAAGTGACTTGCCCAAGGACACACAGCTAGGAGGGACCACAGACTCTTAGTGCTGAGTGGGCTATCACAACCCAGCAGGACAACTCCTGGGGACTCTCTACTCTACCCACTGCACCTGCCAGGGCCTAAGCTGAGGGGCCTCAGGCCCCCAAGGGAGATGGATTCAAAGGGCCCACACTCACTCAGAGACGGGGAGGGGAAAAATCTAGTCTCTGGTGGGCTACCTTGTCCCTGCTCTGCCCTCCAAGGGTCAATCCCTCAGGCCACTGGGCAAGTGGTCAGGCGACAGCAATCCCCGCACTGTCTCCCACACCAGCCTCCCTGGCACTGGTAAGTCTCCAGCCCTTAGGCAGGGAGCCTGAGCAGGGAGGCTAGGAGAGGCCATGGCCACACAGCTGGGGAGGAGGACGCTGACCGTGACCCCTCAAGTCCAATGGCTCCCCTCCACCAAGGGTCCCTAAGCTAGATGCAAGAAGATTCAAGGGCAGGGCCAGGCTCAGGCACATCCAGTTGGGGTAATGAGCAGGGGCACAGGGGGAGGGGCACCCCAGGAAGGAGCTGGCCCTTGGCCCATGGTTGTCCCCGCGCCCCCAACTGGGTTCTCACCGTGGCCACGATCCTCTTGACAGCTGCAGCCGACAGCTCCTCGCCCTTGGGCTGTTCCACCAGTGTCATGCCCAAGTACTTGAGGCTGAAGAGCATCCCCTCGAGCAGTGTCTCCCGAGTGTCTGTCCAGTTCTCAGGCAGCTCTGGGGCAGGGGCAGGACAGGACCTCAGAACCTACTGGCAGGACCCACCACCAGCAACCAGCCAGCCCCCATTTCCTAGGGAAACTCATAAGGGACACTGGGGTTCCCCCATCTAGCATTATTTTCATTTTTTAATAAAAACCAAACCAAACCCGTTGCTGTCGAGTCAATTCCAACTCATAGTGTCTCTAGAGGACGGAGCAGAACTGCCCCATACAGTGTCCAAGGAGCGGCTAGTAGATTTGAACTGCCGACCTCTTGGTTAGTAGCCAAGCTCTTAACTACTGCACCACCAGGGCTCCTGGGCTAACATTTTCCGATATATACCAAATACCATGGTAAGAAGCTTTACATATGTTCTCATCAGTTCTTGTGAAAATCAAAGTAGACACTTTTATCATCCCCATTTTAAAGACAAAGACACCAAGGCCCAGGTAGGCTAAATAACAACAAAATCTATACAGCCGTTAAGTCCAAGAGCCAAGATCCGAACCCATATTTAAGTCCAGAGCCTAAACTCCTAACTTCAACACTAATACTCCACTAATGCTTGCTGAGGGTCTACCATGCCATTTCCTTACTTGATCCTCAGTGCAATCCTGTGAGGTAGGTATTCCCACTTTACAGATCAGAAAACTGAGGCTCAGAGAGGCAAAGCCATTAGAGAAAGGCCACATACTATGAGTAAAGGGTTGGGGTCAGAATGCAAAGCCAGGTGTTGCCCATGGCCCCCGCCTGCTCTCCTCCGTTCCTCTATCTGCACATCCACAGAGACCAACAGGTTAGGGGGAAAGGGACAGCAGCCTCTGTAGGCTCCTTCAACAAGCCACAGCCTGGCTCTGGGGCTCCTGCACTGTCCAGAGCAGAAACCTGGGCCCAGGTAGCACCACTGCATCCTCAACGCAGCCTGGGCCCAAGCTACTCCTTTCATCCCCAGCCTCCTCTAGCTCCGGTCCTAGAGCTCCAAGCCTCTGTGGGCTCTGCCCCACCACCACCTCCAGCCAGAAGGAGTAGGGGTGGGGTGGTAAGGGCTAGTGGAGAAAGGGGAGATGATTTCTCAAATGATGCAGTATAAAGACCATCCGAATCTGGCAGACCTGGGTTCGAGTCCCAGCTCTGCTTCCCACCACCTGCATGGTGGCCTCCAGAAAGACAGCTTCCCTCTTCAAGATGAATAACACCTGCCTTCCCAGCCTGCGGCAGTGGCATAAAGTAGGATACACAGGAAGCGTCCTCTGAAAACTCTGACCACAACTGATGTCAGGAAGGCTGGGAAAGGCGGGGATGGGCCCGTCTCCCTGAGTAGGGAAACAGACCAGGAGGGAGAGTTGGAAAGAGACACCCACCTCGCCCCACCCATGCAAGGAGAGGGCCCTGGGGAGGAAGAGGGACAAAAGGGGAAGCATGGTCCTCAACGGTGGTTTAACCATTCCCAAGTTTCCTCCTGGAAGCTGAGCCAGAAGAACCATATTACTCAGCTGGGAAGCAATGAGGCCAGAATAAAGTCTCCAGGGCTTCTTCCAAGCCCCTATCACTAGGATGAATGGACACCCCACGCTCCTGCCTGTCAGGGCACTTTGCCTGTCCCTCATCATCCCCTCACAGATCCTGCACTTGTAGGAGGTATGATTGTGCCCATTTTACAGATAAGGAAACTGCTCTTCTGCCTCACATACAATCTTGGATAGAGTAGGATCCAGAGAGGAATAGCTTCCAGGGGACCCCAGAGAGGTGGAGGGGAACTGGGAGAAGTCCTGTGCCCTCCCGGCCTCCTCCTGGGGTCTTCCTCATTGGTTCTGAATGAAGAACCACAGGAAGTTAGTTTAAGACTGGACATAGCTGGTTCCAGCACAGCTGAGGCCCTGGCAAGGCTGTGGGCTCCCCCTACAAGCCACAGCCTGGCTCCGGGCCTCCTGCACTGCCAGGAGCAGAAACCTGGGCCCAGGTAGCACTACTGTGTCCTCGACCCAGCCTGGGCCCATGCTACCCTCTCATCCCTAGCCTCCTCTAGCTCCTGTCCTAGAGCCCCAGGCCTCTATGGGCTCTGCCCCACCACCACCGCCAGCCAGAAAGAGCCTTGTATACTCACCTCTCTCTGGACTTGCTTGAGCAAGCCACTGGCCTCCCTGAGGCTGTTTTCTCATCTGAAAAAAGTGTGTGTATGGTGAGGGGTATGCCTACCCCTGTGGACTGAGATCTAGGTGGGCAGGGACTCATTTACTGGTCATCAGCACAGGGTCCAGCATGCAGTTGGCACTCATTGTTTGCTGAGTGAAGGAATGACCTGGACACCTCCATGGAAATGTCAGGACCTACCCTCCAACCCTGCCCCAAGCTCTGGCTCTGACCCACTGTCCTCTACCCTTGCCCCTGGGCCACTACCTCATATGAAGCCAGTCCTTGCAGTGACGATCCGAAAGTGACCCCATTCTCTGTCCCATCAACCAGAAGTCTATTCCATTTGATCCTCAAAAAAAAATCAGGAAGTTCCTGATGTGTCTCCAAGCCTGTGTTGGTGATAGGGGCCAGGATCAACTCAGACATGGGCCCTGCTCCCCCAAAAACTGAGAACAACAGTACCATTAACAGAGCAAAAGAGAGCTATCAAGTAACAACGATGACAATAATAATAAAGCAGTAGTTATTACCATAACCTCTAACCCTCACAGCCACCTTGCAAGCAGGCATTATTTCATTCCCATTTTGCACATGAGGAAACAGGCTCAAAGGATAAGTAATTTGACTTATCTGACTCTAAAGCGCAAGTTCCTGACCATTAGGCGGCACTACCTTACCATAAGGCAAAGTACCTTAATTCTAGCAGAAAATCAGGGAGAAGCTCCTGAAGCTGGAGATATTTCCTCCCACAATTCCTAATTCCTGATGCTTCCCTTCTGCAGGCTAAGATAACCCAGATCATTACCTTCAAACCTAGACCTATCTAAGCAAGGACGGCAAACGACAAGCTGCCATGCCTATTACCTGTGTCCTTGGCAGACATTGCTAATCAATTGTGGCTCTATTTCCCTCGGATCTACAGAGGGGCTTTGGACTATTTCTCAACACAAGGCTCCAGGCAGGCTATATCAATCAATGAGGGCTGGCCTTGTTCATCTCATTAGCCATCTCTGCCCTACAGCAAACATCCCTTTCCTCATTTTGATGTCCTCACTCTCCCCTTTCCTCCAGCTCAGTTCTTTCCTGGCCCCTCTCCAAAGCCACTTCCGCTCCCTCCATTCCAAAGGGCCAAAGTTTGCCAAGGTCACTGATGACCTCTTTGCTGTCCAAACATTCCCCAGTCCTCCCTGACCTCTGAAATGCTCGGCATTTTTATGCATTCCTCCTTCCCTGGCCTGACCCTTCCCTGATTCTACCATCTCCTAGAAGAGGACCTTGGTAGACCAGCCACCATTCTTCAGCTTTGGCGACCCTATGCCCAAAGCCCTCACTTGTCAGATGATGCAACTGAGGCCCAGAGAGGGATGTGACAAGGCCACCCAGCAAGTCAGAGGGAGCCCCAGCTCAGCTCTCAGTCACTACAGGTAATTCCCACAATGACTGTTGCAGGAGGTCACAGAGCGCCTCAAGCTCCTCTCCCATGGTATCAGCCTTGTGTCTGTCTGTCTCTCTCTCTCTCACACACACACACACATCCAGAAGCTCCAACCATACAGCGCTTCTCCTTCAAACTGTAACATTCACTTTTCTACTTCTATGCCTTTGCTCAAGCAGTTCCCTCATGCCCGTCTTTCCCTCGCTTGATCAAACCCCCACGCATCCAACACCCTCCGCCAGGAAGCCTTCTATAGACTGGTGGTTAAGAGCTAAGGCCCTAGTTCTAGGATCTCAGTTCTGACATTTGATGGCTCAGTGATCTTGACTGAGTTAACTGCATTCACTGAGCCTCAGTTCTCTTACCTGCAATTTGAGGTAAACAACAGTCCCTGGTTCAGAGGATTGTTATCACCCTTGAATGAAATTTTAAAAAATGAAACAAGATATAAAATACAAGCTCATCACAGAGGGCCCTGCCCATGGTGGATGCTCAGTAAACATTATACCTTCTGATGAGGCCTCTTGCCCATGGATTGCTCGTGCCTCTCTCAAGTGTGGGATTTCCTTCTCTTCCTCACAAAGCCACATCGCCTATTGCCAAGCAGCTGCCTACATGTGTGTCTTTCCTCCTCAAGAGGACAGATGGAAAGACTTGCCATTCATGTTTCCCTCCCTTAGGAACTAGTACAGAGAAGGTGCTCTCCTGCCCAGTAGAGCTGTCCAGTTACATCCTGTCCCCTATCCTCCCAGGCCGGGCTGAGATCCCCCTCCTCTGGAGAACCCTGCCTCCCTCCTGTACTTCTGTGCATGTGGCTTGTCTCTTCACAGAGGCACAAGCGAGTCTCGTGCCCCTCACCCTCCCCACAGAAGCCAGTGCCCAGGAGCGCTCAATAAATAAAGACATGAATGGTTTACCACCATGCCTACCCTGCTCAGCATCCAGCCACCTCAAATGGAGATCTGCCTAGGGCCAAGCTCAAGTCCAACGGCTGGAGGCCACATGCTCCTTCCCATGAGGAGCCCAGGGCCTTGGGAAGAGCTCCCAGGGGCCCCCAGGCAAATACAGGCCTACAGCCACAGCCCAGCCCCGTTCCGGTCCTAGTTATTTTTGGCCCTGTGGTGGGTAATGACTGCGCTATTTTATATGTGCAATTTTACAGATGACCTGCTGCTGGAGTTAACTGGGGACAGACCATATGCCCAACCTATCTCTCAGCTGCTAACATGTGTTCTTTCCTGGTTAAGGCCCCTGCCCACAAATCAGAGCTGGGAAGGGTGCCCCCTACCCCTTCAGGTGCCCCGAGAGATTCAGCCCGGCTGGTGTCTGGAACATCAGAATTGTAGCCAGTCACGGGGCCAGGGAGAACCTCCAACCAGGGCCCTGGCCTTGAGCCTCCTCTGGCTTGGCAGGGAGATGGCCTCAGAAGCTGCAGAGTGACAACACC